TGGTACATTCACCACCAACAACCTTGAGATCGGGGAAAGTCAGAAACCCACTAAGTAAGACCGATGATCCGCAACAAGGAACTTCAACGCGAAAAATCCCGAAGACGGAGCCGAAGATAGAATCCAGATCCTAGAGGAACAGGTCAAAGCCATGTCAAATGCGCTTAAAACGTAGAGCTATCGGCAAGTCGATACGCCTCGCAAGACTCGTTAGAGTATATAGAGAGGAACACAAACGCGATCGATCCGAGAGTAATACAACGCAAAACATTGGTATACGCCTACCAAAGGGAGGATGGTTAAAGAGCCCATTCGAGGAGCTAAAATTCAATGGAAAAACAGAAGATATGAACCCCAGGGTTCTTAAAGAAATTCAATTTGATCGCGAACTACGAAGAGATCGACGACCGGGATCTAATACACTTTTTTGGAAGATGTATGAAGGACCAAGCGGCCGTATGGTATAAGGTCCAAGATTTCGCACATATAAACGAGGCCCGGGAGGCGTTTATTCAACGTTTCTGGGGAGATACCCAGCAAGCCAAATTTCGCGAAAAACTCTATATGGGGCAGTACAAACCTGGAAAATCGTCAACAATGGCGGATTACGCCCTGGATTTAGCCAGACAAGCAAAATTGCTTGAACCCCCAAGGGAGATGCGGAAATAATACGCTGCGTTAAAAGGCACTTCGATAAAGAAGTCGCGCGTGAAATCAAGTGGTCAACCACTAAAAATATTTCCGAACTAACGTCGATCCTTGAGGAGATACACGACGAGAAACAGGCGGCTGCGGAGACTAAGTCAGCGAGAGACAAGTCATCAGAGAAAGCCTCGACCAAAAGTGCAACAAAGAAGAGACAAGACCCGGCGACACAATACCAGAAAACCAAATGGAACTCGAAAAAGAGTCCATACGTCCGAAATAAGGAGCAAAAAGCGCTTCCATGGTACGGACAGGAAGCAAAAAATTAAAGCCGAAGGTGGAGTTTCCAGAATCTGAGTCCGATGAAGAGGACCGGCAGAATAAAGCAACGAAATCGAAGAAGCCTCAAGAGGAAGAAAAACATCCAACGAGACGAAAGCGCCGAAGAAGAAGGGGATTTCTACCATTAAGCAAAGACAGCTTTCATCGACGGATTCGGAAGAGACTACGGACGAAAGTAGCCCAAATGACAATCCGGAAGAGTCCTTCGAAGAGAAAAAAATCTCGATTATGAGGACCCAAAAGATCATCAAAGATCTAAGCGATGACGAGGTTCATAATAAGAACAAGTCACAATCGAAACCAATTATCGACATTAAAATTGGAAAAACTAAGATACGCGCACTAGTCGATACAGGTGCGGAGATATCTGTCATGTCCAAAAACACGTTGGACAGCCTGATAAAAGCCGGAGAGAATTTCGATCGAATTCCGGTGAGAAAATGCAAATTGAAAGGTGCTTTTGGCGAGCAGGAGCTTCACAATAGCATGCAAGATCCAATTATCGAAAATATCGAAAAGAATCGACTATTGCAGGAATTTATGTAGTCGATAGATTATCGTACCCAATGGTATTGGGAAACGATATGTTGACCAAGTTTAGCGCGAGAATTAAATATCGCGAAAACAGGTTCAACGTCAAATTCAGAAACAACGAAGAAGTCAAGTCAATTCTATCGATCGCCATGTCTGAAGTAGAAGGGGGCGTCGAATTAAAAAGAATACTAAAGAAACATCCAAAAAGTATTCGAAGACAAAATCGGCAAGGTAACCCACTACGAACATAAAATAGAAATGAGCGACGATAAACCGTACAAAAAGAAACCATATCCCGTTCCTGAGGTACACAGAGACGCGGTACGCAAATGATAAAGGAATGGATTCAACAAGGAATCATCAAAAAAGCCGCGACTCAATATATCAACCCATTGGTCCACGGTTAAAAAGAAATCCGGAGACTTGCGGATATGCTTGGACGCGAGAGAGATAAACAAGAAAATGGTGGCGGACCACGCACAACCTCCAACTATTGACGAGGTGTTCAGCCGCATAGGAAATAAAAAATATTTCTCCACGCTAGACGTCACCCAGGCATTTTGGCAAATTCCCCTAGATAAAACTAGCAGAAAATACACTGGTTTTATGTTCGATGGCCAATCATATGTTTTTAAGAGATTACCATTTGGATTGAAAACAGCCGGTGCGTCTTTTACAAGAGCCATGAATAAGGCATTAAAGAATGATAATCTAGAATTCGTTATCGTATATCTCGACGACATCTTGATCGCATCGAACAGTCTCCAAGAACATCTGAAACATATAGATCTCGTGATTGGACGATTGGAAGACGTTGGTTTCAAATCAATAAAGAGAAATGCGAATTCCTAAAAAAGGAAATAAAATTCCTCGGACACACGTTCGACAACGTAACAGCGAACATCAACAAAGAAACGAAATGTTCAATAGCCTCATTCCAGAGACCCAAAACCAAGAAAAACATCCAAGCTTTTTTGGGGTTAGTCAACTGGGATCGAAGATTTGTCAAAAATTTGGCAAGACTAACGAAACCCCTGAAAAATTTGCTAAAAAGAATGTAAAATTCGTATGGACAGAAATCGAGCAAGAAGCTTTCGAAAACATCAAGAGAGCATTCACCAACGCTCCGACGTTATATTTAACCAACCCGAAAATGAATTATGGAATCGATGTGGACGCATCCAAAACCGGACTAGGAGCACGTCTATACCAGTACGAAAAGGAAACGACCATCAAAAATATACCATAGCTTACGCAAGTCGTAGCCTAAAAAACGCGGAAAAAAATTATACGATCACAGAAATCGAATGTCTCGCGCTGGTATTTGCCCTTAAAAAATGGCACGTAATATTGATGGGCAGAAACGTGAGAGTCAACACGGACCATCGCGCCATCAAGTTTGTAAGTTCGTGCGCGAACAACAGCGAACGCATAGCCCGATGGATGTCGTTTCTACAAGAGTTCGATCTGGAGATAAACCATATTCCAGGTACGGAAAAAAGATCGCAGACACGTTGTCGAGACAATACCAAGACGACAACAATCAAACATCAATACAAAACGAGTACAGAGTATGCTCGATCCTCGATTTGGAAAAAGAAGACAACCCAGAAAATTGGATAAAGACCATCCAGGAAGCTCAACGAAACGACCAGGACATCCGAGAAAAAATAACGCAACAAGATCCAAACGTTAAAATCCGCGATGGACTAGTGCGGATAAATCACGGAATCGATGAGCGAGTCTTAATCCGAATAAAATCGCATGGGAATTGATAAACTCTGTACATAAATTTTTGGTACATTTTGGAACCGACAAAATGATCGGATTCACAAAAAGATTCTTCCACTTAGAGAACCTGGATAGATTAACAAGAGACGTAGTCGCGTCATGTAATACGTGTATGGCATCGAAGTATTACACTAGACCGACACAAGGTCCACAATTTTACGACCTACCGGAAAAGAAAACGACACCGTATCGTTAGACTTGTTCGGTCCTTTACCTAGAACCAAAGAAAGAAAAAGATACATCATCGTAATTATGGACCAATTCTCGAAATTAATCCGTTGTTTTCCGATATGCAACCAAAAATATCGAAACAATAATGCAAACGATCGAAGAAGAATACCTAACAAACATGACAAAACCAAATACATTTGTAACCGACAATGGAGGACAATTTTTGTCCAAAAATGGCGCACACCTCGCAACAACGAAAATCCACACGGAAAGTCCAACCAAACAGTAACGAATTTTGAATCCAGTCACAATGGAAGATTTGAAGAGTAATTAGAGTTCATGACCAGACATATGGAAAGAATAATGAAAGCTAAATATAATCTTGTGAACGATACATAACAACATACTATTCAAGAGTAAAGGTCATTTCATGACAGACATACACGAAACAATACGAAATCATGCGAACGAAACCCATCACTTTTCAACGGGAGAATACCAAATAAACTGCATCCCGAGTTACAAATTGAGCTTAAAATAAATAATCGACTAATTCCAGAGGAAGCGGAAAATCAAGACCATCAGGAGCTGAGAACCAAGGTAGCCAACCATTTGGAAAAGAAAAGCAGCCAACCAGCGACGAGTTCAAGCGGAAAAACACCAATCAGCCAAACAATATGAAATCGGAGACCGTGTATGGGTCAAAATTCACCGCAGATCGGACGCAAACCGCAAAACTACCAAAAAAATGCATTTAATTTATGATGGACCATTCATTATTCGCGATATAATAAGAAAAAACGCGTATCTGATAGAACATCTCGACGGAACAATAGTCGGAACATATAATTCCCGTCAAATCAGACCGCATCGCGAACCAAAATTGAGAAATCAAGAGGAACAGCGGATCATAACATCCGACGCCGAAGAAGAAACAATACGTCCACAAGCTAGCGATCAAGAAATAATTTCCGACACTAAAGAAGAAATCGAGCCTCCACGAACAAATAATCAGGAGGATGGACCAATAATAAATTCCGATTCGGAGGAAGATTCAGAGATAAATATGATTTCGTTGATTCCAATCGAACGACTAATAAATAGATCGAGTTTAGAAGGGGGCGAAAAAGTAAATAACCAAATTAAACCACAAACAAAAATTTGGGATTCCGAAATAGCAACCGAAATCCAAGAAATGTCATACTCACGAGAAGGGATCAAAAGAAACTTTTTCTAAACCATAATTGGTTTAATCATCAAAAAACGTAGTTTTTCACAAAATTGGAAACTTACATCCACAAAAACCAATTTTCCACGGAAATACAAACGAAATCACAAACAATTCACAAATTCCATGAATAAACTACGAGAAAACAGACAAATTCAAAAATCAATTCCACAGCATTCAAAAAGTTACAGAATAGACGTACCACTAAAATCATCTACTATAATACAATTTGCCAAACCACAACCTGAAAGAGAAAAAGGAATTGAAAAATACTCACCACACGAAGATTTCATTCCACCAAGGAAATCTGAAAAACAAAAAGAAATTAATCAACAACCCACAAAAAACAAGAGTATCTTACCTCAGGAAAATCCAGACCAGCCCAGGAAGCCTGAAAAAAGAAAAATAAAACTTTAACTTACCAGGATCCGAATTCGTCCAAAGAGAAAATCAATGAAGACAAACTTGCAAGAAAAAAGAAAATTACCCAGCAACCTAAAAGAAAAGAAAAAATTAAACAGCAATCTAAAGAAAAGAAAAATACTTACCACCTGAAGATCCCAAACCATCCAGGAAGAAGACGGATCTCCTGAAAAGAAAGAAAGTTAAAGAAAAATAAAATATTAACGATTTAATAAGTAAACAATGAATTAACACGTTCGAACGAAAAAAATATGTTAATTAAGGGGATCCTAAATGATGTTTTTACCGACCGAATGCGAGAATATTTATTTTTTCATATAACTTTTTATTGACTATACTGATCAATAAATCCTTTTCCACGATTAAAGTACTTATAAAAACGGACCGCGCTAGCTATGTTTGCATATATAAATCATATAAAAATCAAAAATTACAATTTTGTTATCGGCTGCTTTGTGTCAGTTCGTAATAATACTTATTTAATAAAAAAAGTTTTGCAGTTTGTTTGTGCATGAAATATAGTATGTGCGCGGTAAGGATTATATGAAGAAATATTAGTAAGCAATTAAAAGTGAGATTGCAAGTCTAATAAAAAGTTATATATAAAAAAACATTTCACGCATATGTGTGTGTGCAAATCGAGGCTGCGGAATAAAACAGAGCAGTAGATTAGTTGCGTGATATCGTGATAGATGGAGCTGCAACGTGTTTCTCTCTTTCTCTCGCTCTCTCTCTTTCTGTTTTTTATAAGGTCTGTTTGTTTTAGCTACACTGGCCACATTAGTTCAGAGGTTGTCTTTTTTGTTCGACATTGGAAGGAAAAAGATAACCTCTGAATTAGTGTAGCCAATGCATGCCATTATATATTTTATGTTTGATAATATAAATAATACATCAATTTTTTTCTATAAAAAACTATATATATAAAACAAAAAAATTTGTGTTATTTATATTATCAAACACATGAAATATATAATGACATACAATTTTATTTTAATTATATTTGTATAATACAATAATATTCACATGATTTTTATAGATAATAAGTATATGCATTTATAATTTATAAAAACTAAATCTTATTTTTCATACATCGAAGTAATTCGAGTAATGATTTTACTGAAATATATATTTGATAGACATTGTGATTCTAACGAATTTTATTTGTTCGCATATACCTGTAAATTGTTATAAAAATTACTTTTACTGTAAATGTAAGATCAGGGTGTCTAGCGAAACAAGGTTAAGAAATTCAAAGACATTTCCAGGATTTCCAGGACAAAAAAGTATTTTTTCCAGGAATTTTTTATTAATTAAAAGCATATGAAAGTTGATTAGAAAACAAACAAAATTATATATATATATATATATATATATATATATATTCTCTTTTTATTTAAGATTTAATTAAATAATTAAATTAACTTAAACTTTGGTACTTTGTTGTTTGTGAAAGGTACAGTAATTTTTCGAGATCATAAGAATTATTAAATGTAACATAAATAATTATTTGATTAAATTTTTATTTTTGAACCTCCTTATCAATTAAATCAGATTCTTCTTTAGCATTTGATAAGAGCTTTTTCTTCTGTATTTGTAATTCCTCTGTACAAATCGCGATTGAGATTAAGAGAAAAGTATAGATATCTGCATTGAAAATTCCTGTAAAAATATTTTTATACAAACATTAACATTTTCAAGGATAAGTAAGAAAAATTCAGGATATAATGAAAAAAATACACATTATTCCAGGATTTTCAGGACATAAAAAAAAATCAGGACAATTCCAGGATTTTAAGGATTTCCAAGACCACTCGACACCCTGAAGATAAATTCTATGCAATCTATAAAACAAAAGAGAGAGACAGAGAGAGAGAGAGAGAGAGAGAGAGAGAGAAGGGAGAGGAGAGGACGTCTAAAAGAATATAGAAGCGGTCGACAGTACAAATTGGAAAGGAACAGAGGAAATAAAATAATAACTATAAATATTTTATAATTATATATTTTATATAAAATAGAATTTATATAATTCACAATTGTGTTTTTTGCTTTATGTTAAATTACATTGCATGACTTTTTTTCCACTAGGGTAAAGATACCGATTCATCTCATAATTAAAACGTAATTATCAATTACACATCAAACTAATCATCATTTAAAAAACAATGCCCTGAATATTTACTTTGTTAGCAGTATAAAGTTATAAATACAGATATAATGATATATGTAGTACACATATACACACATATATAAAATATATAATATATATTATTCTCTAAAGCATGTTAGTTGAATCTCGTCCCTTTCTAAAAAAAGGGATATATTATCGATATTCGACTAATATGCCTTTTTAGAAAGGGACGAGATTCAACTAACATGCTTTTAGAAAATAATATATATTATATATTTTATATATAAGTGTGTATATGTGTACTACATATATATTTATATCTGTATTTATAACTTTATACTGCTAACAAAAGTAAATATTCAGGGCATTGTTTTTCAAATGATGATTAGTTGTGATGTGTAATTGATAATTACGTTTTAATTATGAGATCGGTACCTTTACCCTACTATAGTATATCCCGGGCGTATATCCCGGTGCAGGTACGTATCCTGCAGGCCCGGGCATATATCCCGGTGCAGGTACGTACCTGCAGCACCAGGCACATAACCTGACGCGGGAGCGTACCCTACTGCGCCAGGCACATATCCCGGTGCCGGCATGTATCCTGCGGCACCGGGCACATATCCTGGCGCGGGAGCGTATCCTCCTGCGCCGGTTATATATCCTGGTGCAGGAATATAATAACCTCCGGGTGGCCCGGGCATATATTTTTGTGCAGGTCCGGGTCTTCGGTTGAATTTTCGCCGCTCTTTATTTACGGCCCGTCGTATGGCCTCATTTATGCGCTGAAAAAGAAATAATTGTATATATTTTACATACACTTATATATACTCTCTCTCTCTCTCTCTCTGTTTTATATACTGTATACACTTTATCTTTTCCATTTACAGTGAGAATAATTTTTATACCAATTTACAGCTATATATGAACAAATAATAAAATTCATTTGAATTAATTCATATAAAATATATGTAAAATCATTACTTCAACGAATTACTTCGACGTATAATATGTAATAATGAGACTTACAGTTTTTTTATAATAAATGAATATACTTATTAGCTATAAAAATCATGCGTGAATTATTGTATTGTGCAAATATTATAAAATTGTATGCCATTATATATATCATGTTTGATCATATAAATAATACATTAAATTTTTATTATTTATATTATCAAACATAATATATATAATGGCATACAATTTTATAATATTTGCACAATATAATAACTCACATGATTTTTATAGCTAATAAGTATATACATTTATCATAAAAAAACTGTCTCATTATTACGTATCATTCGTCGAAGTAATTCGTTGAAGTAGATTTTACTGACATATATTTTATATGAATTGGTTCAAATAAATTTTATTATCTGTTCATATATAGCTGTAAATTGGTATAAAAATTATTCTTACTGGAAAAGATAAATTGTATACAGTATATAAAACAGAAAGAGAGAGAGAGAGAGAGAGAGAGAGAGAGAGAAAGGGAGGGAGATACACGAAATAGAAGTAAAAAGTATGAGACCTTCGTAAAATTTGTATCTTTGCCTATAAGAAAAAGATTGAAGTTGAAACTGTGCATATTTATTAGTCTTGCATTGTATAAATTTTTTAACTTAAAAATCGACAATTATCTTCTAAAAAAATTACAATTATTTTCTATAAAAATGGAAAATTTTTGTAAATTTTATTTTCAAAAATTGTAATTTTTTTTAGAAGATAATTGTCGATTTTTAAGTTGAAAAATTTATACATAGCAAGACTAATAAATATGCACAGTTTCAACTTCAATCTTTTTCTTATAAGCAAAGATACAATTTTACGAAGGTCTCATACTTTTTACCTCTATTTCGTGTGTCTCCCTCCCTTTCTCTAACAAATATAACAAAATATTATAAAACTAACCTTTTTCATATTTTTTCCCGGTGCCGGAGTCGTCGTCGGCATCGCCGTCGATGCCGGGGTCGGCGGCGGCATCGCCGTCGGAGTCGACGTCGGCGTCGTCATTATCGTTGCCGGGGTCGGCGGCGGCATCGCCGTCGGCATCATCATCGTTGCCGGAGTCGACGTCGGCATCATCATCATCATCGTTGCCGGGGTCGGCGGCGGCATCATCATCATCGTTGCCGGGGTCGACGGCGGCATCGCCGTCGGCATCATCTTCGCCGTCGGTGTCGACGATCGGCGTCGTCATCATCGTTGCGAAGGTCGGCGGCGGCATCGCCGTCGGAGTCGACGTCGGCGTCGTCATCATCGTTGCGGGGGTCGGCGGCGGCATCGCCGTCGGAGTCGACGTCGGCGTCGTCATCATCGTTGCGGGGGTCGGCGGCGGCATCGCCGTCGGCATCATCTTCGCCGTCGGTGTCGACGTCGGCGTCGTCATCATCGTTGCGAGGGTCGGCGGCGGCATCATCATCGCCGTCGGTGTCGACGTCGGCATCATCATCATCATCGTTGCCGGGGTCGGCGGCGGCATCATCATCGCCGTCGGTGTCGACGTCGGCGACGTCATCATCGTTGCGGGGGTCGGCGGCGGCGGCATCGCCGTCGGCATCATCATCGCCGTCGGTGTCGACGTCGGCGTCGTCATCATCGTTGCGAGGGTTGGCGGCGGCATCATTGTTGCGAGGGTCGGCGGCGGCATCATCATCGCCGTCGGTGTCGACGTCGGCGTCGTCATCATCGTTGCGGGGATCGGCGGCGGCATCGCCGTCGTTGCCGGCATCATCATTGTTGCGGGGTCGGCGTCGGCGTCGTCTTCGACGTCGTGTCGGTCGGTTGTCGGTGTCGGCGTCGTCCTCGGCGTCGGCGTCATCCTCGGCGTCGACGTCGTCCTCGGCGTCAGCGTCGGTGTCAGCGTCGTCCTCGGCGTCGTCTTAGCAATACTGCCTTCGCTTTGTGCTGCAAGAAAAGATATATTTATATATTACCGAATTGTATATATATATATATATATATATATATATATATATATATATAACCTATAATTTATAAAATGTAATAATTTACTTACGTCTCCCGGCGGCATCTTATTTTCCGAGCGATGGGCAATGAGCTGGCGACGGACGACGGGCGACGGGCGACGGCTAACAAATGATCACTGATTTCTTTCGTCTCTTCTTTTGGCTCACATACGCCGTAGTGGTGGGGGTATGGGGAAATTCGCGGCGTGACTGGCACGTGACACAAAAAATGTTTTCAAGCGAGCGCAAGAATTTCGAGCATGTTTTTTTCAGGACGTGCTCTATAGAAATAAATAAATAAATAAATAAATATGTATTTATATATATATATATTGCATATATAATACATATTTACTTAAGAGTTTAACTAGGCTCTGTAATATAAATATAAATTTAACATATATAAGATAGGCAATAAGAGCCAAATCGCGGATGACAGTGCGTTATCTAAACGAAACTAAATTTTTTCGTTAGAATTAAATACCTGTGCACAAGGCACCAAATTTTACTTGGACACGGCCAAGATATAAAATTGGAATAATCTCTACAAGAGATTTTTAATTCCATGTATCCCCTATTCCCCCTAAAGAAATAAATGTGAGAGAAAAATATAGATCCGAAAGTCGCAGAATCGGGAATCGAAAATTAAAATTTGGTGCCTTGTGCACAGGTATTTATTCTAACGAAAAAATTTAGTTTTGTTTAGAATAACGCACTGTCATCCGCGATTTGGCTCTTATTGCCTATCTTATATATGTTAAATTTAATTTATATTACAGAGCCTAGTTAAACTCTTAATTTATACACGCTGGCTTAAAGGCGTTTATTTACCAACATCAATATATATAACAGAGAAAAGTATAGAATCGAAAGGATCTGAATAGCTCAGTTGGAAGAGCAGTCGCCCGGCAAGCGAAAGGTCTCGGGTTCGATTCCCGATTCTGCGACTTTCGGATCTATATTTTTCTCACACATTTATTTCTTTAGGGGGAATAGGGGATACATGGAATTAAAAATCTCTTGTAGAGATTATTCCAATTTTATATCTTGGCCGTGTCCAAGTAAAATTTGGTGCCTTGTGCACAGGTATTTAATTCTAACGAAAAAATTTAGTTTCGTTTAGAATAACGCACTGTCATCCGCGATTTGGCTCTTATTGCCTATCTTATATATGTTAAATTTATTCATATTTACTTATTTATTCATTTATATATATATATATATATATATATATATGTGTGTGTGTGGGTGTGTGTGTGTGTGTGTGTGTGTGTGTGTGTAAACTAATTTATTTTTAATATAATAAAATCACGTGCGTGTCATAAAAAAATATATAATTGTTCGTTTGCATTGAATGTCACTATTTTCGAAAAAGTAAAAAAAGAAAGCTCGCTCTCTCTCTCTCTCTCTCTCTCTTTCTCTCGATACTTTATGCTTAGTATTCTATCAATCAGTGATTAATGCAATCAATCAATCAATATATCGTTTTACGGCAACAGCCAGTTGCTTGTTCATTCACTCATTCATTCTTTTAAAATATGTTCATTTTTAAACATAATTATATAAATTATTATATAGAAATTATAGGGATTTATATATAATCATGTCAAATTATATATAAAACAAATATTTATATAAATATTTGTTTTATATATAATTATGATGTATATGAAGTGAATTATGATGTATATGATGTATATAATATATATGAAGAAATATTTATTATATATATATATATACAGGGTGAGCCATTTGAATCTATCACCCCAAATATTTCCGTTCCCTTGCATTTTACAAGAAAATGTTTCAGATAAAAGTTATATGGTTTCGAGGGGGACATAAGATGGTGTCAATAAGTTGACCTCGAATAGTTGCTTAAAGGTCACATGAAGGTCACCTTCAATATGTTAAATGGAACTGCCTATTTTTTATTGCATATTCTTGTAGCTTATCTCGAGACGTTTCCAAAACACTATAAACAAATGTATTTTCGTTAAGTATTTTTCGAGTTGTGAGGCTTGAAAGCTACAGTGTTCTGTAACGTTCTGTTCGTTAAGTAGTTTCCGACTTGTGAGTCATCTGAATAGTCAGAACATTTGAAGGTCATCAGATATGTGGCTGTTTTAAAAATTTCAAGATGGCGGACAAAAGTTTTAGTCAACCGATTTTCACCAAATTAAGTTTACGAGGGGTTTTTGGGGTTGCTGATCACGAATCTGAAGTCAGATTTACAAAATTCAAAATGGTGGTTCCAAGATGGCAAACAATTTTAATTGGATGGTGCGCCAGCACCAAATTTAATTGCGGCTAAAACTTTGTCCGCCATCTTGGAACCGCCATCTTGGAACCGCTATTTTAAATTTTGCAAATCTGATCTTGAATTCGTGAGCAGCGACCCTAACGATGCGCGACTAGTTCATGTAGCTCTTCCGCTAGGTTGCTATGACCATGACTACATATCATCCTGCAATCAAAAAGCAGACGTGAATGCTTAAATAGCAACGATATCTCCGCTTATTTGTATCTATTGAGAAATCAATACTTTTAGAACTCAAATAATTACCTATCTTTAATATGGCAGCCTACCCACCAAACGAAATCGTGGACATGATTAAAATATTGGGGGAATGTAGGAATAATTTTTCGAGAGCTGAACGTCTGTATGCTCAACGTTATCCTGATAGACGGCATCCAACTAGGGTAACCATTAAAACCCTTACGCAGAGAGCAAGTGATGGGTCTATGGTTCGCCGATCACGACATCATGAATATGATGTTAATGATAATCGTGTTATAACCATTTTAGCGAAAATTTATCGCGATCGTCATATTAGCACTCGTCAAATCGAAAGAGAAATTGGCATACCTCAGCGAACAGTTGCGAGAATATTAAAGGCGAGAAAATTTCATGCATATCACATTACGTTGACACAACGTTTGAATTTTAATGATTATTTACTTCGTGTAAATTTTGTGAATGGGCTCTGCAAATGATCCAACAAGATGAAAACTTTTTCCGGTACGTACTCTTTTCGGATGAGGCAACTTTCAGTAGCAATGGAACTTTAAATAGACATAATTGTCACTACTGGTCCGATGAAAATCCCCATTGGTTTCGTTCAATTAATTTTCAAAATCGTTGGTCTTTAATGGTCTGGTGTAGCATCGTAAATGGCTATTTAATAGGTCCTTATTTTTTTGAAGAAAACGTTAACGGACAAAACTTTTTGCAGTTTCTTCGAGACGATTTACCGGTACTATTGGAAGATGTTGATTTATTCACCAGAGAACGGATGTGGCTTCAATTGGATGGTGCGCCAGCACATTATTCAAATATTGTAAGAAATTATTTGAATAACCATACAATGGTAGGTGGATTGGGAGATTGGGCGCAGTCGCGTGGCCTCCTCGTTCGCCAGATCTAACTTCTCCCGATTTTTTCTTGTGGGGAATGCTGAAAAATATTGTCTATAGCGAAAAACCAACAACCAAGGAGAATATGAAGGAACGTATTCGGACTGCTTGTGCCGCAATATCTCAAGAAATTCTTTTGAGAACAGAGAACACCATCCAATTGAAATTGTTTGCCATCTTGGAACCACCATTTTGAATTTTGTAAATCTGACTTCAGATTCGTGATCAGCAACCCCAAAAACCCTCGTAAACTTAATTTGGTGAAAATCGGTTGACTAAAACTTTTGTCCGCCATCTTGAAATTTTTAAAACAGCCACATATCTGATGACCTTCAGATGTTCTGACTATTCAGATGACTCACAACTCGGAAACTACTTAACGAACAGAACGTTACAGAACACTGTAGCTTTCAAGCCTCACAACTCGAAAAATACTTAACGAAAATACATTTGTTTATAGTGTTTTGGAAACGTCTCGAGATAAGCTACAAGAATATGCAATAAAAAATAGGCAGTTCCATTTAACATATTGAAGGTGACCTTCATGTGACCTTTAAGCAACTATTCGAGGTCAACTTATTGACACCATCTTATGTCCCCCTCGAAACCATATAACTTTTATCTGAAACA